CTTATTATAGCACCAGGTATACTTTGGTCCAAGAATCCCAATATCATGTAGATCACTTTTGTTCATAAAAGCTTTCATCTCCAAAGGCCCTTGGGAAAAAGAGAACTTCTTACTTTCTTTCTTATCATCTTGAGAAAGAATGTAGTTAATATCTCCCCCAACCACAAAAGGTACCTCAGACCTTGAGTGCTACTCCAAATAATCCCACAACTTCCTTCTACAATACAAGTCTCTGCTACCATAAATAGAAATTCACCTTGCTTTTCCTAGAGGATGAATTCAAAGGCCCAAGAGACCTAAGTTCCTTAAGAAGCTTAGGTTTGTGCCCACCAGCCACAACATTACCCAAGAAAACAAAGCCATCACCTTTGGAATCCAAAGAATCATCTTTGCTGAAAATAGCCAAACCATCCTTCTTTGCATGATAAATATGATCTACATAATCCACCAATTCACCTTCTTGCACATCAATTCTAATAGACCCATCAGCCACGTATAAATTAACCTCCTCCCCAAATATTGAATTCAACATTTCAAAATGATTTTCTTCAAAAAATTTTGATTTAGGAGAAGAGCAAAGTTGAATATCAAGCAATATAGGAACTTCTTGAGTAAAATCCCCATCAGCATTCTTTAGTTCCTCCGTTCTTTTCTTACATAACAGAACAACGCCTTCAACAATATCTATCCCAGTAGAAGGAAAAATTGTATCCCCAGTAATTTCAGCTTTATCGAATCCAGAAGACAGAGATTCATTTACATGAGCATTTAAAATAACTTCAGTTATAGGATTGATGTTCTTACAGAACTAATTAGATGCATCTTGAACCTCTTTCCCATTCAAAGGCATTTCCATATCCACATTATTAATAGTTTTATCCATCCCAGCAAGCATAGGTTCATTAACCTGGGCTTAAATACACCTCCAGTCTTTGGTACAAATTCTTTCTTGAAGTAACCCCACCTTTCTTCTTATATTTTTATGTTATTAACCAATAACCAAGGCCCATAAGTAGAATCCTCCCTAATACCATTAGCTCCAGCTCTACCATTATCTTTAGCTTGTTCAGGTGCCTTTCCCATACTCATAATATCTTCTCCCTTCACATTCACACTGCAAGCATCAATCAAGTGTCCAATCCTTGCACAATTGAAGAAAAAGGATGAAATTTTTGCATACTCCACCTTTTGGAAAAATCTTCCATTCACCCCATCCACCCAAATACCTAATGGAAGTTGTTTGTCAAGCTTGACTCAGACGCAAACTCTAGCAAACTCCCTTCTTCCCCATTAAAATATGCCACCATATATAAAAAAGGGGTTTACCAATCATAGAAGTTATTCTCGAAACATTGATTTCATCCCAGCAATAAAGTGGAAGGTTGGGCATCCATATCCAGATCGGAGAGGACAGTCCCTTAAGAGAATCTAGATTGAAACTAGGATTCCACTTATCAAGTCCAACAATATGGCCATTCACAAACCAAGGGCCACTGGATAAAATGTTCTCTTTTGACTCAATAGTAAAAAAAGAACATAATAGCCAACCCGAGCCAAGAACAGTCAAATGGAACTTCCCAAATTGCGACCATTGACGTCTCAACTCATCTGCTATCACCTGAATAGGGATAAATCTACAAAATACTTTGACAACAATAGAGAATTGAAGCTTCATCGAATTGGCATTAACATTAGGTTAAAAAACCTTAACTGCAAAGCCATCATCCGACAGGAAGGATTCATTATTCAGCATGTTAATCTTGATATAGGGATGGTTCAAGCAAGGATTTTCAAGACGTTGCTCAATCATATCTTTAACACCAAATTGAGTTCCCTCTATTGAAACAGGACCTTGCCCATTCTCTGAAGCAATATCAGAAATAGTTGATGGACCAACACTTTTCCCTTGAGCAGACGGAGCACCTTCAGAAATGGAAATAGGTTTAGCATTGACAAACCTATTAACGAATAACTTCATGTCAGATGAAGATGATTCAACATTAGTAATTCTGGGAACATCATGAGGAGTATTCTCCTTGAACTCTTCCACAATCTGCTTGCCTTTACCAACAACCGGTGGTGAAGATTGATTTTGACATCAATTGGTTCTTTGATAACCAGAGAAACATCAGACCGAATGAACTTTGGAGAAATCACAGGCTTTAATGGAACTACTAAACCAGAAGTACTAATAGAGTCAGGCAACGAATTCCGGCGATCAAAGGTGGCCTGCGGCCGATCCTCCATGCCTAGCAGAAAACCCGCCGAGATGAAGGAAAATTTTGAAAAAAACAATTCAAATTATGGGAGCTTCTCTCTCTAACTTTCAAGCTATGTGTAACTGCCTTTCATGAGATATATTGGGAGTTGGACGTCATAAAAAGTCATTTTACTATAATGTTGGATGACATTAGTCGGAAAATATCCTATTTTTTGTAAGGAAGATTGAAAGAATCGTGAATTAAATGCTGGTAAATATTAGGAGTTGGATGTCAATAAATGTTGATCTAATATAGACATTAGATGATCTTGGTCGGAGAAAGTTTGATATTAGTGAAGGGTCATAGTGGGAGTTAGGAAGTGGTCAACTCAATAATTCATCATGTATAAAGGGGGACTAGGCGGATTAGCAAGCGAATGTCAAACTACGACAATTAGAGGACATTAGATGTTTGTTGTTGGTGAATATCAACAGTTAATGAATGTTGAATATTAAGAGGTGGGTGACTTAATTGTTCTTCTTATAGAATAGGAGACAAGGAAATCTAGGAAGCAAACATAAAACATGGATAGTCAATAAGTGTTGATCATTTGTTGTTAGTTGACATTAAACACATGGAAAAACTTGCTATATCCTTCTCCTTATAAAAGGAAGGATAAGAGGATGAAGGATCGAACAACTTATTAAGTGAAAGTTGAATGTCAATGGTCAATAATAAAAAATCAATTACACGCAAATGTTAAACATTGAAGAACATCATAAATTAAGAGTTGGACATCAATGAATGTTGGCTACCATGAATGATGACATCTACAATTAAGTTTCAATGTTGGTAAACATTGATTAGCAATCATCGATTGATGATCAAAGTGGATATAGGGCAATGGTGTAGGACATCAGTTAGTGTACATTAATCAACAAACATTAGTCAATGATGATAGGTGATGCTTAACATTAAGAGTATAATTTCAGTCAACAAATATAGGTTGGCTACAAACATTTGCTACAAATGTTTAATGATTTTGGCAAGTAGAAGTTTTGAAGGATCCAAAAATATTAGCATGGTAACCTTGTAGCACTAGAAACAATTAGAACTCTACAGTCCTCTACAATTCTTGAGTGCTCCCAATTTAAAATATGAAAATGAGAGAACCAAGACATATTTATAGATTTTAATGGGTTAATATGGTAATTATACATAATTAGTATGAAGTATTCTTTATTCTGATCAATAATGGATACCCAACATCACACCCTTTATTGATCCAAAAGTGACTAGAATATATTACCGTTAGATCAATCTAATCAAGCCATCCAAGTCATGACAGACCAAGCAATTGATCTACGATTGGGCTTTATAGTTTATTGGTTGTATGATAGTTGGTTTTGATGTTGAAACCTCCGATTGATGAATGAAAGACACCATATCGAAGATCTTGATGTCATAAGTGCAATAGAATTATCATATTAAAAAAAAAAATCCAGAAATCAAATTGTCAACAATGAAACTTGGAGAACAAAAATTTGTGATAATTGGATGTGGCCGTTTTATTCATCTTGGTGAGAACAAACCATTAATATTGATGGTTCATCAATCATATGCCTATGAGAACCACAAATAATTTCAATAAGATGTAGGGACCGAATCTTATTTAAGTTCATGAAAAATCATGACAATACAATGCTATTTTTGTTTTGAAATATTCTTCTCGAGAGCAATCCAATGTCATAAACGGCTCATGATTCAATCACACGCTCCAAATTATTGCTGAAGAATTGCAGTACAGTACACTAGACAGGGTTGTAAACGAGTTGAATCGTATTTCAGTCACCCATAATTTGAGCTTGATTAGTTAATCAAGTTCAAGCTCCAGCTTTTCTCTACCCATTCGAGCCGACTCACAAGCCAACTCATTTTTTATGAAAGAAAAAAAATGATTATGCTTTAAGTAATTCTTATAATAAAATGATTAAAAAAAACAAATTATGAATAATAATAATAATAAAGAATAACTAAATATAAAAAGTGGGATATAATTTTTAAACATTTTTAATAACTTTATATTTAAAATATTGAATTCTAATACATTTTAAACGATCTAGCTCGAGAGCTAACGAGTCGAGTTGGGGCTAGCTCAAATTTGACTCATTAGCTCATCGAGCTTGGCTCACGACATTTTATCGAGCGAGCCGAAGTCGGCTCATGAGTCGGCTTGCCTCACTACACCCCATGCACCAGAGCATCTCAAAAAAAGTGAGGGTAGATTCCCCCCAGGCACAAGGCAAGAGAAGTTGGAGCATTACAACCATCCCCACGATTGACGGATTGGTTGGGATCAAGAGGCTACCCACTGCCTTCAGCAAGTTCCAGCATGCAAGTCCGTAGGAGGCAATAATAAGAACCGACGCGTTTTTGATCAAGGCCTGACCAGTATGGTTTGCCCAGTTCAACTGGCTCAACAAGATTTGCATAGAATCTCATAACTTTTTGGGTATTGTTTTATATTACATGCAACAATAAATTGCTATGTTTTGGAATCTTCTAATTTTTTTTTTCCAAATTTCCGATCTCAATTTATGAATGATATTTTGTTCCACAAAAAAACACAAGAGAACAAATCTTATCCAGATCTAGTTCTTAAATCCCATAAGAAACTCTTTAAATTTTGAAAATTTTCAATCAACAATATATATTTATATAGCTCTTAAAATTCCACAAGACAACTCTTTCAAATTTTACAAGATTTCAATCAACATAATTAAAAAAATCTTTCCTTTTAATTATTATATATTATCTTGAAGATCATGCAGGTCTGTATAATATGAACATGCAGACCTCCATTACTTCTTGAGCACCTTTAAGCTCAGATGTCTTAGACAATTGTTTTTTCCCCGTTAAGTCTTAGATAGTGTATTATTGTGTATAAAAAAGTTACACAATAATAAACAAGCAGTAATGCATGTAATAATCTCTCCATCTCTAATTGTGGATGAAATTCCTCATAAAATTCTCTCCTTTTCTCTATGAGAAGTTCTTTTTTAGTCACAGATAATGTTCATATGAACTGCATTAGTTCTAATGAACATCAAATGATAAAAAAAATTATTTCTCTAAGAGAATGTGAGGAATTCTTTCACAAGATTTGTCTCCGTCATCTTCTTCAAACGCAATAAACTTAAATGGGAAACCAAAGGGTAATGACTGAATCAACAAACCAAACCGATCACGTCAAGGCTGCGAACCCTCTACCTCTCATCATCTGCTTAAATTCTTTAAAATTAACCATCCCATCTCCATCCAAATCAACCTTCCGTATCATTCGTCGGCAATCCTCCACCGTTCTCCCCTGCTTTAACCCAAGCGACGCGAGCACAGATCGCAGCTCCTCGACGGTAATGAAGCCATCGCCATTCTGGTCGAAGACATTGAATGCTTCTCGCATATCTTCCTCTTCATCTTGGTCGTCGCCGCGCTCGTCCATAATGCTCTGATAAAGCGCGCCGAACTCGTCAATGTCGATGCAGCCGTCTCCATTGGCGTCGATCTTGTCGATCATGGATTGGAGCTCGGAGTCGGGGATGCCGATGCCGAGGTTGCTGAGGGAGTCGCTTAGTTCTTTTTTCGTGATGGAGCCATCGCCATTGCGATCGAACATTTGGAAGATGCGTTTTAGATCGGCGGAGTCCATGGGTTTTTGATTGGGAAGGAGCGGAAGGAAATATGAATGAGAGGAAGTGGGATTAATAAGGCAAATTAGGTATGCAGGGATTTAATGGCGAAGAGGTTGCCGGCGAGTTCGGGAGGTTAAAATTAGGGTTTGTCACGCGGGTTGCGAGCGGCGAGGCGTTGAGCAGCCGCGTTGCAGAACCGAACTGAGTTTGTGAGCAGTACATCTAGTATTTTAATAAATATAAATTTATTTTAAACTTATATGTATTATAGAAAATACAGCACTACTAGAAATATAATATTTTCAAAAATATCGTGCAATAAAGAACAAAAAAATTGGAGTTTTAAAGAAGCCTAAATAAGTAAATAACTATATGTTTGAGAATAATAATATCAATATAAACTAATATATATATATATATCAACATAAACTTAATTACTTTATATAAATAGATTATATTAAACAATTTTTCAAAATTTTAATAAAATTTAATTGTTAAAAAATATTTAAATCTATAAAACTTGCTGTTTATTTAATTTTTCATCATATATATAATAATATATATAATTTTAATGGGCATAAAATATACCTCATGTTGTAACAAACACTAATTTAAACTCGGCCTAAAACTTTTATTTTATCCAGTGAACGTACGCTCCTCTGCGTTCGGTTTTAGACCAAAACAGCGCAATACGCGGTACTCGGTATTACGCTGTTTTGGTCTAAAACCGAACGTAGAGGAGCGTACATTCACTGGATGTAATAAAAGTTCCCTTTTTTCCCTCTCTCCAGCGAAGCAGGATCCCCCTCTCCTCTGATTCGATTTGCCCTAGTCGAACCCTCCATCCCGTGTGCAATCTTCCATTCGGAACCAGACGGACAAACGACCTCCCGACTCTTTGCTCTCTAGGATTTGAATAGAGAAGCCGCTCCCGGAGTAGCCGATCAGCCTCCCTTTTGCTGTCGTTCCTCCTTCACAGACGAGGCGCTATATATAGGGTTGTTCAGCTATGTGTGTGGTTTCTGGTGTTTGGTATTTTTTCTTCCCTTAATCTTTGATTTCCGGCAATTTTCTTCCATATGGCTGCAAATTGGTTTGGGAATCCTGGGCTTTTAGATGACAAGGCGAAGCCAAAATCGTTTCGTGATGCTTTATCTGGTGATTCGTCTGGTTTTCCACAGCTCAAAGTTTCTTCTCATCGTGATTTTCCTGCTTTAATTGTTTCGGATGAGGAATTATTATCTCTTGCCATGCCTTTTGAGTTTGCATTGGTAGGAAAATTTTCGGGCCATCGCCCGCCTCTGTATTTAATAAAAAAATTCTTCTTTAATCTTAAGCTGGGTGGTGCATTTTCGGTTACTATCTTGAATCCTAAAAATGTGTTGATCAAGCTAGCTAATGATCTAGATTATTGCAGGATTTTCTCTCACTGATCGTATTTCATCTCTAATTGTTTCACGAAGTTGTTTATGTGGTATCCCCTCTTTGACGTTAATGTTGAGTCGCCTATTGTGCCCTTGTGGGTCTTTTTCCCGGTTTGCATCCTCACCTTTTTTAACCTCGCATTCCTCATTATTTGGGCTTTATGTTTGGTAGGCCTTTGCGTGTTGACAATGCCACTTTGAACGACACTCAACCGTCTGTTGCTCGAATTATTATGGAACTAGATGTCACGAAACGTTATGCTTCTCAGGTGTGGCTTGGCTCTGAATCTATGGGCTACATCCAAAATATTGAAATGGAGGATTTCCCATTGTATTGCTCTCATTGTAAAATGCTGGGTAATTCTAAAGAGGTTTGCCCTATTTTATTGCCTAAGATGGATGTGCATCCCTCTATTCCTGAGGTGGCCGTCGTGGAGGTGGCTGATAATCTTGTTAATGGTTTGGTTGAGGTGGTGCTTAATGACGGGTTACCTATTAATGATATTACTATTGACAATGATACTATAGTTGTTGTGCCTCCTTTACTTAATGAGGTAGGGTCTTGTAATTGTGAATGTTGTAGAGTTAGGTGTTGTTGTTCCACGCCATGACGTTGTTTTACTTTTGCCTACTGCTTTCCTTCAGTTGAGTGAATGTGTTGTGTTGAATGCTCCTGGTGAGTATGGCGAGGATTTGTATGACTTGGTTTCTTCTATTGTTGAGGAGGTGGAGGCGGAGGATGGTGTGATTCAGATGGATGGGTGCCTTGGTTCACCTGGGGTTGTGGATGTCCCTTGTGTGGTGGTTGTTGTTCCACCTCTCCTGGGATCTACGATGGTTACTGGCAATGTTTTTTTTTTTTATCATTTGGATGCTTTGGTCAGGATTCCCTTCATTGGGGGAAGTGATTGTGATGCTTTGGTTGATGTTCATGTGGGGCTTATTTCGCCAAAATATTTTTAAATCAAGGATTTTGTCGTGACCAGGAGAGTCCTGTTTGAGACAAATTGATTAGTTGGATGACTCGATGGATTATTTTTGCGATCTGGATGATGATTTGGAGGATGAAGTTGGGGCCTTACAAGGCTCGTATGGTTTGGATATCTCTAGGGCTTTAGGTCCCCCTTTCTCTCGTCGTAAAAAACAGCGTCATTGCAAATCTAGGAGATAGTTCTTCTATTTGCCCCACGGATGGCCAGGCTTGGTTGCAACCTTGGTGGTCTTTTGGTCTTTGATTGTGTTTGTTTATGCCTTTTCTAGACTTTATTCTGGGTTGTTTGGATACTCTTCATGGACGTTTGCTGTTGAGATGTTGCTTTTGATGTGTTGGAGTTTGTTTATACTTTCTTGTTGTTATCTTTTATTTTGTCTTGCTTTTTATCTTCTATATTTAGTTGGATCCAAAGCTTGAAGGTTTTTATTCAAATGATATTCTTTTAGTGAGATTATGATCTTTTAAGGTTTTGTAATTTTTATCCTTATTAACATGTTGGCTCTGCCATTGATAAAAAAAATACAAAGTAGATTATTTTAAAATTATAAAAAATCATTACATGACTTCACATTTTATTCTATTCAAATAATTATTTAAGCTTTACTGGTCATTAAATATAACTAAACATTCTTATATAATAATACATACATTAAATAAATGGATTTACAAGAAAATTTCCTTCTCATTGCATCTAAACTAAAAGAAATTACCAAAAAAAAAAAAAAGCATCATCCTTATTTTGATCAAGGTGCAACTAAAGTTCAATCAATGTTTGATTAATCTTTGAATAAGATAAAAAAAAGCTTCAATCAAGATTTGATCAATTTTTTTTTATCAATGTTCACTTGAGATAATGTATGTGTTTCTTGGTTAGGGTTAAGAGTACTAACAAGATTCAATAAATGTTGGAATACTTTCGATCAATGTTCAGTTTGGTGCATAAATGACATTTTCAAACCTAACTAATTAAACATATAATATATCTGTTGCGGCCTAGAAGATTTGTGGTGGTAGAGTGAGTAAACTTTTCATCTTAGCGATGCACGGATAAGAGAGAAGCAAAACACCCGATCTTTTTTACGTGGAAACCTCGAAGAGGGAAAAACCACGGGGCCTCGCCTAGGTGAAAATATTCAACTAAACTTGAGTGAATTATAAGGGTTGACCCATCCCTTGATTTAGAGGTGGTCATATTACAGTAATTTAAAGAGTTAGTCAAAGGTTCGGTGACGATCAGGCGAAAGTCTTTCAACTTTTGTGTAGAAGTTTTGCTGACAAGGAACGATCCGACGAAGGTTTGACGGTAAACGATGACCGAGCGGTGGTTCGGAGATGGTTGGCTGAAGTTCTACGGTGGTCGATGACCGGTCGGAGGTCTGGTAACGGTCAACGACCGGGAGAAGGTTCAGTGGAGGATGGCTGCCATGCGAAGGTCCAGTGGCGGCCGAGCAAAGGTCCGGCAACGGCCACCAGCTGGGCGGTGGTCCGACGAAGGTCGGGCTGAAGTCCAGTGGTGGATGGCGGACGACGGCCGGGTGGTGGTCCTACGAAGGGCGAGCTGAAGTCCGGCGGCGGTTGACGACAGGTCGGTGGTTCGACGAAGGTCGAACTGAAGTCCGGCTGTGGTTGGCGATCGAGCGGTGGTCCGACGAAGGTCGGGCTAAAGTCCGATGGCGGTCGGCCGCTGGGTGGTGGTCTGGTGAAGGTCGTGCTGAAGTTCGGCGGTGGTCGGCAGCTGGGCGGTGGTCCAGTGGCAGTCAGCGGCCGGGCGGTGGTCTGGCGGTGGTCAGCAATCGTGCGGTGGTGCTAGAGCTCTTGAAGCTTCAAAGCTCTCCCCAATCTCCAGCAAAAGGTCATCTTCATGTAGAGAGTGGGAGTTTATTTATAGATTTTTGTGAGTGGCACACCCCTTAAATTTAGAGAAGACCCGGGGTTGGTTGGGAGTGCTCCATCGGATGGCTCGTATTGATCCCCCCGATCGTAGAGAGTTTTTCAACTATTTATATGCCTTAACGATGTTGGAATTTAGAGAGCTTGGGCTCATTGGATTTGTCTTGTCGAGCTGCTTGATTTGAATAGAAGCATTCCACATTTAGATATCATTTTAACATCCAAATAATACTTTGACCCTTCCTAATGTGGTCCGGGCCCCGATTTGGACCCATTTGGGCTTGAGTTGGACCAATTTTGGTGTTGTTTGATTCGTCTCTTTGAGATGTTCAGTTTGACTATAAGTTTGCTAAAATTGGAATTCAGATGATCCCAAATTTAATTTTAAAGAATTTCTAACTTGAATATGCCTCGAGATTCGTGCTTGATCAAGGCAATTTTTGTGGACGTA